GTCATGAATGTATGGTTATTGAAAAATACAAAGATTCGAACCTGCTGGTAATTACTGATTATCACTTCCTAAAACATGTACTTACTATCTCTATACTTGCCTCTTTCTATTGTCATTTAATAAAAATAATTAGAGAGAGAGAGAGAGAGAGAGAATTTCTTACATCTTGACATCGATTTTTATGATCCTTAATATTTATAAAATATCCACTGATATGTCCGATCTAGGCACAAAACTGTGGACGTGATGTCCACAAATGTGAGCAGAAGTACGAATTTTCGGAATTTTATAATACATGGCGCGGAGCGCGAACCGTTCGGGATAGGATTATTTTTAAAGGAACCGAGGCCAACTCCCCTTGCCTGAATACGTACGTACCAGATTATCCACCATTACTGGAATACCCTGTATATGTACAGGTTAGTGGAAATATAACGCAAGCTAAACTGTGGGCTTTCTTATCGTTTGTTTGTGTTCTATATATATTTTAAATTAAAAAAGCACCCGAATTACAGTTTTAAAAAATGGCACGTATTATTTTCGGACATTGCAGATTCTTACCGTTACGGTTAGAGTCTATTTAAGTTCACTGCTGAACATAGGCCTCCCTTATAAATTGCCTCATACAGTGGATATTTGACATAATTACCACGCTTGGTAAGCGGGTTGGTAACAGCAGCTTTTTAGGGTTCCGCAGTTATACTACAAGGAACCTTTATAGTTTCGCCATGTCCGTCTGTGTGTCCTTCCGTCCGCGGTTTTGCTCAGAGACCGTAGGACACTACCTACGCCTGGAAAACTGTGAAAACATGTCTTAAAACATTTTTATTTTAGGTACTTCCCATACAAGGAGGATGATTTTTTTACCCCTTCATTCCATCATGTGGGGTATCGGTGGATAGGTCTTTAGAAAACATTGGGGGTGTGGAACAACATCTTTTCGATTCGAACAACATCTTTTCGATTCAGGGGTCCTTTAAAGAGGTATTTTATTTAGAGTCATGTGCCCCCTCACCGCTACCAACTAAGCCGCTGTTTTTGCAAATGTGAAAATTATACACAATAGTAGTATATATATATAATGAAGTTAAAAGGGAAACTATCACAGCTAAGGCCCAAGAACGCACTAGCGGTGTGCCATGAAGCAACATGCCGTTCCGGCAGGCCGGAGTATATACAGTCTGCCGCAGCGGCACGCCGTATTCCGGCTATCCGTATCGCCTAGGTTTTATTGCGGTCTGCCGCAATCGTCAGTGCTTCTAGAAATATTGCACATGATGAATGTCGAATAAGTTGCTGCAGTAATTTTGTTTAATAATCAGCGCATTTGCTATCATGGAATATATGGGCTATATGGATAACAAATGCAATGATTATTTCCATTCAATGATTTCTAAAATGATCTTATCTATATCAAAATCCATGACATGAAGCTAACCACGTCAGGGTATGCAGGGGATGCGGCGCGCCGTACCATTCATCCGGAGCGGTTAACGGCTAGCCGCAAGTCAGTGCGTCGAGATCATGCGGTGGCCAGCCGCCAGAGCGTTCTTCATAATTCATAATCTTTATTGCAATTCTTGTGCAGTAGAATTAAGAAGTTAATGAGTAATAGTCGACCAACATATAAAATGCACTAGGATTAAGAAAAAAATAGTTACAACTCCATAGAAAATGACCTAAAACGAGCTGCATTAATAACTTTGTAATGTTATTGTAAACTGTTAAAAACATCTATCTTAAGTCTATGGTAAAAATAAACATTTTATGAAGAAAATGACTTATATGCAATAATAGTAGTAATGCATATTATGCATTACTACTATTAGCTTTATTTTTTCATTTGCGGGATAGATAAGGTATTATTATCAAAATCGAAAAGTTTTTTAATCTTTTTTGAATACTACTCCCTACAAGGCTGATTTGAAAATAAGTCTTTCATTTACGGTTTTCCTATTTCGGCCTATTTTTAGTCGTTTTAGCGTTCAAACCGCGAACTCACTTATTATGCTCACGTATTGTGACGGGCAACTACAGAACCCTACCTCTACATTGTGCGTGGCCGGACACGCACTTTTATTTTTAATCGTTATTAGGAAGACGCTGCTGCCCATTTCCTAATATGAAGATAAAGATAAGAAGCATTTGCCTGAATTGTAATGCTTCGAAAGTGAATCGGCGGTCGCCAGTGTAGCCAAAAAATATTTACCCCTAAAGGTTAAGTCAATAACCCCTAAAACTACCTCAATTACTTGGAAAGCCCCTGAAAATAAGTAAAATACTTTGTAATGTTCTTTATATATAAAATATTTAATATTTTACACATTATTTCGTTTTCTCTGATGGTTCCGACGTATTAAAATCATACATTTAAATATTAAATAAACATAAATCTTTTAATTAACGGATTAAATGTTAATCAGACCATAATCACACTTTGTACTATTTCAATAGATAACAAGAAATTGCAACCGTGACTGCGTAGTACTATTATTTATTCTGTGCCGTGACAATCAAAGCAAAACATACCATCCGAATTTTGAGATATTTTCAAAGGGATTACAGCCAGCTGCACCGCAACTCATCGTAAACTTCTAAACAAAAATCGGCTAAAGTTGAAAAAATACAATAGTCCCTAAAAATGTAAAGCTCCTTAAAATCCCATCCCACTTATTTACCCCTTAAGTTTAGGGGGAAAACTCCTAAGTTAGGAAACCAGGAACCCTTGCGTTCGCAACGGGTACCAGTCGTCTGGCATCTTTATCGCTGGTCTAGTCTAGGCATTTTATAAATGACGTCAATGCGCTGGTTATTCCGTCATCTATCGAAAAATTTTATAAGTATGTGGTAGAACCATGCTGCAGCTATATTAGTAGTATAGTTGTATCACAGATGGGTCGGCTCGACCGAGGAAGAACCACGCTCTCACAGAATACCAGCGTAAAATGGCAGCTTGACACTGTTGTTTCGTATGATGAGTGTAGAGAACCGGAGACCCTTTTTACTGGAAAAGAGGCATTCCATTTTAGTCCTCACGGGTTGTCACCCGTCTGTATTTTGATTCGCAAATGAGGATAGATGTAGATGTCTATGGGCCACAGCAACCACTTACCATCAGGTGGATTGTGTGCTCGTTTGTCATCCTATATTATAAAAAAAAATCTTTCTGGCATTTCCCATGGTTGTCTCTTACGACATCCTCGAAATAACACGTATAGAATAATTTTTATTCAATATTGATTACATGTAATTCTTATTGAAAGTCATTTTTTTACGTTTTCTACTGGTTTACTGGTTCAGAAATAAACCTCTGTCCTGGGAAGAATCAGGAAGAAAGCCATTAGGACTTAAAAAAACTTACAATATAATATTTATACAGTTGTTTAGGAAAAGCATTGCATTATGCTGCAACCACACGGCAAAACAAACAACGTGAGTGCGTCAGTGTTTGACTCGCGGGTCATAGGTTTGCCATCACTGATCTAAGGTATCCTATATGAGATTTCCATTGAAGTTTATAGTCTACTAGCGACCCGACCCGACTTCGCACGGGTGATTTCTGGATCATTCTGGAACAGCGCCACCTACCCTGTCCAATCGTGAATCTAAACCATTTAGGGACCCATTCAAAGACACATACAAAAAGAATATTCTGTCCAAGTTGTATACCTATAAGAGCTATAGTTTGAAAATGTGATTTTTTTAAATTAACGCCCCCGCAACCCTCCTTGCGGGTGGAATTTCGTAAAATCCGAAAAAAATCTTAGCTGACCTCTACTCGGCGAAAGGAATATTCCTACCAAATTTCAAGACTCTAGGCCTTATGGTTCAGGAGATATCGTAATGAGTCAGTATATAGGTGGAAATCTCCACATGTGTCACCATATATATACATAGAAGATGGTGATCTTTAAAATATTGTCGTATTATATTTTTAAAGATCACCGTAGACTACTATAATGTAATTTATAATGTAAAAAAATATCATTAGCTTAGTTGCTTCACATTTGCTCAAAGAAAATAAGACTTTTATTAAAGACTAAAACTAAAATGAATAAAATAGATTATGTACGCATAATAAGCTTTTCTTTAAAATTGGCTTTACGGCTCTGGGTTCTAGCCCTTCTGAGCATAATAAGCTCAAGTGTTAAGAAATAGTGTATTAAAGCTAGAGAGCTACTAGCTAGTAGAAGTATTAAATCCAAAAAAAAAATAAGAAAGTATTAAATAAAAATACAACGATGAATGAAGTTATTATATTTTATTCATTTTAGTTCCTTGAAGTCAGCTTACACTTTTTATTAAAATTCTAATTTGTAGCACTCGAAGGTCGTCCAAATTATTATAGTATAAACATTAATAACTCTATCCCCTATTTTTCCACCATTAGGTGAAGAATTTTGTCTCCATATATATATGGTATTATCCTTAATACCGTATTTAATGAAAAATAAATATTAAAATCGACGAAGATAGCGAGTAACAGTAATATAAAAAAAGAACATACACTAGTATTGAGATCCTCCTCCTTTTTTGAAATCGGCTAAAAATTAAGGTTCAAAGTTAACATTAAACAGTTCTAATGTTTGTACGAAGAAAGTAAATTTTAGACATCTAGTGCGTGCTTCCTTTTCATTTTATGTGAAATAATTCGTAAACACCGTGTATTGGCGGTGTACGCATATCCACTACGCCATGTCATCGCCAGGGTGTCGTATGAGGCGATAGAGGGAAATAAAACAGGAGATTAGCAGCAGCATCTTTCTGAAAACAACTCAATAAAACGGGTTGCTAACCCGCATGCAAAGCGTGGCAACTATGGCAAAAATCCCCAATATGACGCAATCTATGAGGAGGTCTGCGTTCAATAGTGCACTTTTAAAAGTCTGTAATGATGATAATGATAAAAATAAATTTCTTATAAACGAGTCCTTTTTATTTTATATGTCAAAATATAATTTATCTTTAAAAAATAAAAACAACAACACAAGAGGACTCACCAAATAATGTCACGAATAGAATTGTCCATAAAATAGACATCTTGGGACAAACATCAGTGGTTGAAAAATCGTCTGCTATTGCTGTGCAAAGCGTTGGAACTTAAAAAACTTGGCGCGCCACAACACACTACGGCGAGAGGAGTCACAACATAGGCGCGTGTATGACTGCACGAAGCCAACTGATCAGAAAAAGCACGCAAATCCACTCGCGGAAAGACTAGCGTTACTGAAGTGCGTAGGCGGTATTTTATACACTTGCCAGAATAAGTCTGTTTATGCAGAATTACAGTACAGTACATTATGTGCAAAGCTTACGCTATACAGGTGATTTGGAGGTTGAACGATATATTATTTAATTGAAAACAAACAAAAGATAATTCATCTGTTATTCACATTTATTTTAAAAGTTAAAATGTTTTACAAACTGTTTTTAAATGTTTTGTTTCTAGAACACATTGCAAATTATAACACAAACACCCGCTTTGCGAACAATTAACAGCCAACTACTATTTAATTAATCTAAAAAAATTATAAAGCCAACATTTCGTACAAGACTAAGATTCCAAAACAAAAGCGCAACATCTTATAAAGTACACGAGTAAAGACTTATGTTAATTTTTGTCTTGTAAGAGTTTTTAAACTAGCTTATTACAGGTGTGAGTGCAGCAGGGATGATATGGCGGGCTTGGGCAGGTAAAAGCTTGGCACGGGGGAACCACTGGACAACATTCACCCGGGTACCAAACAGTACGGGCGTATCTGCCACTGGGCCTCGTACACGCGCCGTGATTAAAGCAATCCGCTTTGCAAGGAAAATCATAACAGCATGGTCTGAAATAAAGAACATGATGTTAATGTTGTTTGCCCATTTTCTTTCTATTCCATTCCCATTAAAAATGTGGGTGGCCTATTTTCATTAAATAAGTTATATCAATTTTAAACGCGAATCGAAATCACAAATTGTCTATAAACTATTTCAAACTGCCAGGTCAAGATGTTAAAATAAGGTCATACAACATCAGAGCAATATAAATTTCATCTAGGTGCTACCTATTCATATATTAAGCGGAGCACAGTTTATAAAACATAAAACGTTCAAACTGCGGTTTAATAATATCGTAAAAGACTTTTTATAGTACCAGCTTTATTTTATTTCGAACGAATAAATAAAATGCGTTTGAAGAGACCGTACCCACCGTCTAGAGCATTATGAATACTCTAAGATCTATCACAAATAATTTTCATTTTACACAATCTTCTGTGGAAACAGAAACCAGTTCCGAAGCTTTTTAACTGCTTTATTATGTACATATAGATATTTACCTATTTCACTTTTGTTGCAGTTTTTCGTCATAATGAAAAGAAAAATGACAATCGGAGCTTTTCCATGATTTTTGGTCTTACAATCATACAATCAATATTTTGAAGCATAATACTTCTATAGTCCTCTAGTCCTATATTCATATGTAAACTGTGTCTGTGTGTTTAAGGATAACAGTTTTAAAATTTTTTTTAGCTTATTATTCTTACACCGCCACTACACAATATACAATAATAAGTTGTAAAAAAGAAAACAAATCGATTATTAACAAAGCGCAATATTTCGTTTTTCTTGTTGGAAATAATCATAAAAATTGGGTTGTGATAGCTAGCACTTTATTATCTTACTAGCTGTTCCCCGTAACTTCGCCCGCGTTCAATTTAGGGTTTTAATTTTTTTTCGTAGAACCCTAATTCTTTTTTAAAATAAAAGTAGCTTAGGTTACTCCTTATAACATTAGCTATCTGCCAGTGAAAATCCGGCCAAAATCGGTCCAGCCATTTCGGAGATTAGCAGGAACAGACAGACATGCAGACAAACATTTTAAAAATTGTGTTTTTGTGATAAGTACCGTACACACTATCATATGTCTTTAGTAAAAAACTGTTATTTTGATTTTAAAAACAGGCACTTAAATTTTATTTATTTGTATAAATTAAGTACCTTTCTCGTGGAACTCGACTCTGTCCACTGCAATATGGGGCTACCTCTCGTTGGAATGGTTGTGGTCGAGGCTGACCACATCTCGGTCTCTTGTGATACACGCTGTATTCACCCTGTACACATCCGTATCTTGGGGATGGCTGGAAGCACTCATAGCCTCGTGGTAATACAGACATTTTTAACTAATTTTATTAGAATGTTTACCTGTAAATAAACATATTTTCATGTCACAGTAAAATATTTGTCGTCAAATTATATTTATATAACACGTGTGGTAAACGATATGGCCGTCTCCAGTTGTAAGGAGATTCGCACGGCAAAGTATCATTGTTTATAATTTTTTTTTGTACAGTATAAGGGTGACACATGAGCACACAGTCCACTTGTAAGTGAATGCCGTGGCCCATAGATATATCAGCTTTACGCTGCTGTGTTTCGTATGGTGAGTGTAGAGAACTGGAGGCCTTTTTTACTGGAAACGAGGCATTACATCTTAGTCCTCACGGGTGACAACGCATCTGCATTTTGATTCGTAATCAAGAAAAGATGTAGATGTCTATGGGCCGTAGCAACCACTTACCATCAGGTGGACTGTATGCTCGTTTGTCACCTTTATCCTATAAAAAAATAGACTCCTTTACCTATTCTCGATAAATAATTAAATGTAGGTGCATTACATGCAAAAGGTTTTCCGGTTCTTTACACAGCATACGAAACACATCAGCACTAAATTTCTATTTCATGCTGGTATACTGTAAGAACATAGTCCTTTGCCGTTCGATTCATCCTGCAGGCATAATATATATAGCTGCAACGTGTCTCTAACACGTCAAACGATCTTATTTCATGGGTCCACGCCACGGGTAAGGGTAAGGTTTGGACTTAGGTGTGTCTCTGTATTGGTGCGTACATTATGGCATTATAATATAACCTGCACAGTTGATAGCTTTTGATTATAAGGAAATTGTCATTGCGGTTAATATTTTAAATATTAATATGACCACTCATTGACAGTCAGAAAGAAAATAAAATCATAAAGAAACGGTAGATACGGTAAGTAATCATATTGTAATTTATTTAAAACTCGTTTACATTTGAGACGCCCTATAACAATGCAACACTTACGGTGCGTTATATTTTTTTAAAGTTGTCCAATTTTTATGTTTTTTTACTTTACAATAATTTAACTATTTTTATATATTTATTTTTTGACGTAAAATTTTTGACTAAAATTTCAACACTGACAAATTGTTTATGAAACTATTTTTAAAAGTATATACCGTGTAATATATAAACTTTTTGAATATTTTGTAGGTTTTATTTATTATTTTATTACTACTAGGTATAGGTTACTATTAATATGCTTGGCATTTTATAAATAAATTAAATCTAAACCTAGCCAAACATCTTTTACGCTCTATATTTGAGCCGTGAACACCCGTGAACAAAGAGTAGAGTATTAGGCCGGCCACATACATACGGGATTCCGTTTCGAGATTCCGTTTCGATATTCCGATTCAGAATCCCGAACGCAGCAAGTCCATATAAAATCTATGACCCGCCACACACGTACGGTAGTTTTCCGTTCGATATTTTGCGGGCAAAACGGGATTCCGTTTGTGTGTGGCCGACCGTTCGGATTTCCGAAACGGAATCTCGAAACGGGATTCCGTATGTATGTGGCGGGCCTTATATAAGCGAAGCCCGTGAAACAATTTCATGGCGAGAGTCTAGAGGGGCCGTTGTGGATGGCTTTCGCGTTCCGAGCCGACATTTGAGTACGCGTCAAAGATTTTGCGGGACACGAACTTGGCGTGAACACAAACTATCCACACTCACGCCGTGAAAGCCAATAAAAAAGGAAATAAAATATAAAGTATTTTGTACTCCCAGGCCTACTAGACTAGGTATGAATATTTTGAATAGTATTCATCATCATCATCATCATTACAGCCCTTCACAAGGCCTCCCCCAAAGAATGCCACAAAGCATAATAATAGCCATTAATTCGATTTAATACAACTTTATGTGTGCTACTGTTATTGCAATGAATATACTGTATATGTCCATACACATATACCTACATTTGTGTGTACTTACACATTTACTATATTATATTATAATACTTTAAGCAAAACATGTTGTAAGATAGTTTCATAGAAAATTACGAGTGTCTTGTTAAACGTGTATTTCTTTTTTTAATAGAATAAAGGTGACACGAGAGCATAAAGGCCACCTGATGGTAAGTGGATGTTGTGGTCTATAGACATTCTACACTTATCGTCGATTAAGAATCAAAATGCAGACGCGGTGTCACCCCTGAGGACTAAGATGTAGTGCCCAGTTTCCAGTTTCAAATAAAACCATACGTAACACAGCAGCATGAAACTGCTATTTTACGCTTTCTGTGAGATCGTGGTCCTACCCCGGTCGAGCCGATCCATTCGTACTACAAACAACCATGCTATAGGTGCAGCGTGTCTCGAACACGTATAAAACCACGTTTATTGTATAAAGCATTGATTTAATATAAACTGACGTAGGTATGTCTATGGGAAATATTATTAACGTGAAACTTTGTGAGGATATATGGATGTTTGTTACTCTTTCACGCAAAAACAACTAAATGAATTTTAATGAAACTTTGCATTTATATAGCTCATACATCAGAATAACACATAAGCTATAATTAATAAAGATATTGTATAAATTAGCCTAAATATAACGATAAATGTTAAGTAATTCGGAAAAAAAAATACGACGTTCATCCGTCTGAACACGCATCACGCAAAAACCCGTAAACCGATTTGGATGGGACTTTCACTGGCAGATAGCTGATGTTATAAGGAATAACTTAAGCAACTTTTATTTTAGGGTTCCGCGCAAAATAGTTCTACGCGGGCAAAGTTGCGGGGAACAGCTAGTCGATGGTATAAAGTAACATCTTAGTGTAACTATGGTTAACTTGGATAAGTCATGCTCGCCTAAAGGTCTTTGCTTACAGCAGTGTGCATCCGCTATAAATGGCCGAGGAGGGCGATTTCTGTTACATGCCTCATATTTGTGAACAGGTAATTCTTGTGAGGACTGCAACTTTTTATGTACACTTAATTTTAGTCAGCCAAAGCGCACAGCGTTACGGCTGCAGTAGTAGGTAGCTAATATTTCAGTGTCCAATCTCGTTAAGCGCGCGTACCTAACTGCTTTGAACGATTGTGAGTTTGGAAGAATATGTTTGTCGTGCTGTCTTCGCGGGATAATTTAAGGGAGTAAATTCACACCATGATTTACGCGCAAGTCTAGAATCAAGGCAAGACTTCGAAATACTGTGAACTGCGATAAAATTTGTAATTTCATTCAATAAGAAAACTCGAGTAAAGTAATAAAAGTTAGTCCAAAGAATTAGTAACATTTTTATGTAAATTCTCGGCTATTATAATAAAGAAGTTTTCACTAAATTCTAAATTTATCGCTTCGTACCTATTCGGGGGCATGGGAATTCGTTTCTCAACTCGGGGTAAGTGAAGGGGTATCAGTAAGTTGTCAAAAAAGCATGCACACAAACAAATTTGGACAGTTTTTCACTTCAGAAGTACCTTCGTTTAAAGCCGGGGCGGCATAAGAGGCGGCTAAGTTGAGATTATCGCTATAGGAGAAATCGGTTCGTGGTAGTCTGTGGCGTCCTCAATTAAGAATATAAAATGTGGATACGTTGTCACCCCTGAGAAGTAAGATGGAGTGCCCCGTTACCAATAAATGGGTTTCTTGTGATGGGTTGTAGTTGTAAAGATGATGATCGTTTTTAATTATAATGGCATAGTTCCGCAAAATGATGAGAAACAGCAAATTAGAAAATTGTTAGAAATGCTTAGTAGAAAAATTGATGATTATGTCAGTGGAAATTAATTGAATGGATACTAAACTAAATCTCTATATATAAAAGTCAATTGATATCCGTTAGTCGCGCTGAAACTCTAAAACGGCTTGACTAATTTTGATGAATTTTTTTGTGTGTTTGAAAGGGTTCCTATATGGTTTAGATTCACATTTGGATCTGGTAGGTGGCGCTATTGTTAAAATCCAGAAATCAACCATGCGAAGCCGAGGCGGATAGCTAGTTACAAATAAATATAACCTTCTCCACCAATTACTTTAACACAAATCCCTTTAATTTTTGAAGTGATTTATGTATTGATTTTGTTACAGTCACGACTCACGACACGTAAATTTATAGATTAAGATGCAATCAGTGGCACATTGATGAATTGTCACATGTTATTTCGACAATACATCAATGTTTTGACTAAGGTTCCGTTCATTTACCTGAATGGTAATTGAGCGGAATAAATGCTATAAGATTTATTGATATGAAATCAATACGTAGTACACTGGTTCCCAAACTAATAAGAAGATTGACGGTAAACAAACTGCTTTGACAACTAAATTGAGATCTATAGAAATCATTCACTAATTCTTTATTTATGGAACATTTCTTAAGTAATGAACTTACAAAACGCAATCGAAGTCGCGGGGAACAGCTAGTATATATATATATATATATATATATATATATATATATATATATATATATATATAATTTACTTACCGATGAAATTTTATGCCATCTTTTTGATAACTGGATGTCTTAGCTGACTTGCCACACCGTTTCACCGCACAGGAAGCCATTTGTAATGTATTTTGGATACAAAACTATTTTTAAATTGTCTAGAACTCGGACGTGCCTACGGGTCACAAACTTGGTCGTCACTGATGTCGTGATTCTTAGCGTCACTTCATATCCTAGCTACAGCAAGTATGTGTTGCGCGCGTTTGTGGCCCTGTATGTGGAATCTATTAGGAGGTAATCTATTATCAACGCACACTGCGCAGTTCGCACATGTCGCACGTTGAAAGCAATATTTTATAATAAGGTTTTTGATTTGCAGGCTAGTCCTATAGTAATAGTAACATGGGTCAAGACTATAATGTTTTAAACTCATAGCTCGGAATTTTTCAAAAATATCACACAACAGTAATAGATCACATTTTGAATATAAATCGGTGTATGCACCTAAGTTACGGATTTTAAAATCATTCCATACCTTCAATGCATGACTATAATCTTCAACTGAAACAGATTGAGATGTAAGGTTATTGAAAAATTTCGATTGCTCTG